TATTGGGTCATCTAAAAAGTATCCGCGGTTTTTTGTCACTAGATGTGTGTTGATGGTCATATATCTAGTGACAAAGTACCGCGGATACTTTTTAGATGACCCAATACTATACTATAGGAATTTTGTATAATTTATTGCATATCCCAGTAAATAAAATGAAATGGAACAAGCAAGGAGTTGAATAAGATTTAAAAGAATTTATTTTGGCTAAAAATTAATTTTTACACAAATCGAATAACGGCTTCTCGACTATCTAAATCAAACTTAATTTGAGAAAGGAGCATAAAAAGCCTACGCTAGTTATAGCGAAATTATAATTTATCAATTCATTAAGACTGTAATAATATACGACTTTTTATTCAGTCATCTTTAGTATTCTAACAAATTTTTTTATTTTTCTTATTTTATTTTTATTTTAATCTAATTTCTGTTTGTTCATTAATTCCATTCATTTACTGATCATATATAATTTTGCTTTCCTGCCAAGTCACATTCGAGTATTTGATTCTTGTTTTTGGAATAGGTCTACTGGGGAAAACACATTAAAAAACAAAATGCTTCTTACAATACCGCGGGTGATGTTGAAAGCTATTGTCGAAATGCTCTATTGTTGAAATGTTATCATAATTATGTAATGTATTAGAAAACTACGTTAAGATATAAGTATATTATTAAAAAAATAATGAATAAATTAACAATAAAAAATTTTATGTTAATAGAAATAAATTATTTAATAAAAAAAACATGTTTCAACAATAATTTGGCGGAAGATGCGCTCCCACTATATTTCTGATATAGAAACGCTCCTAAGCCAGAGCGTCACGTGAGCATGGCGGCTCGGCCGCCCGAGCCTCGATCGATAGGGTGCTGGAATCAGTTCGAAATATGCAGATCTTTGCGAGCACTATTATACATCATTATATAATCTCATTGATGTCCACATAGTCTGAGGGGAGTCTGTTTGATTTGTATAGTCTTATAGTTATTATATCTTTATATTATATCTTTTGATAGTCCTTATAGTTTTGATGGGAGAGGATTTGTAGGTTTTAATGATTTGATTTTACTAAGAATGTTGCTTTTTTCACCAGAATCTTGATGTTCTACGCAATTGTATTAGTTGAATCTATGTCAAACTTTTTGTATTGTCAAAATTTTTGCTTTGTCCGAGAGAAGGTTCTTATCTGATGTTCTAATGTGTTCACGACTACTGTCGTGTTGCCTTTGTCGGCTGGAAGCACGATGATGTCTGTGTTCTTGTTCAGGTCTTGGAGGGGCAATCGCTCTTGTTTAGTGATGTTTGGTGGAGGGGGTTTAGCTTTGGAAAGGATATTGGTTATCTGTCTGCGGATATTATCTGCTTGTTCTGAGGAGTCGGTAGATAGTTGACTCTATTTGGCTAATAATTTCTTTGGAATCTTTCTAGGTGCCACTGCGAAATTAGGGCTTTTGACAAGCGCAGATATAGTGTCTTGAGACAGGTTTTTGTTGGATAGGTTCTTGACGTTAAGTAGAGAGAGTTGTGGATTTTTGTGAGGGACAAGGTTTATGTATTTCTGTTTCTGTCTTTCAGAGGATTGTGTGTGGGTCTTCATGGCTTGTTCGTATGTAATACAATCTAGGGTTTGCCAGATATCATGTTGCAACGTGATAGATAGGAACAAGTGGAGTTTAAAGATTTTATGAGAAATCTGGACTATTTGTAACTTAGTGAAATGGGTGCGTTCTTTGATGAGGAGGCTGGTTTTATGAAGAATGTTTTTGGATTTGTGAGTTCCTGGGTGATCCTTGAGTTGTAAGAACTTTGGGATGATATTATTATCCCTACAGCATTTTGGAATGCCAAGTTTGATAGTTTCTTGGCTAGGGAAGACCTGAGTTTGCTGAAAGTGTTTACTTTAAGGATATTCTCCCCGTAGAGGTATTTGATAATATTCTTGAGACTTCCACGGGTGCTTCTATATAAAGATTATGCGTTTCGATTATGGGTTTCCTCTGTGGGTTTTCTTTTGTTAAATTAATATTATTTAATATAAAAATATTTTGTAATTTAATTCTTTTGTATCAAACTTAAGAAATGCTTATAAGAACTGACACTGGATGAATTTGTGTATATAAATTTATTCAAATTTAATAACTTGAATAATACGCATTTCGATCATCGTTTTGATCCTTTTCAATATTATAAAATTAATTAAATCAATGCATAGTAGTCGTCAAGCAAGTGGAATCGGATTATTTTATAATCATATAATTTGCGTCCAAATTAATAATAAATTTGAATATGTATTCAATGTTTCAATATCCATTCTTCACATTTGTACCGACCTTCCGACTTCGATCAACGACTCAATTGTAGAATAGCAAGTCATATTCATGTGCGATATACAATATACGACAAACGACTAGCGACAGCCGACATCGACATACAACTGATTGTAGAATGGGCCTACTACTGTTAAAGTAGTACGTCCATAAGTGTATGGTATGCACTTATGGACGAACTTATGGACTTACTACTTCAACAGTGTTACTAATCCGTACAAATTAAAATCATATTATAACATGCATAATTCGTGACTTCAATGTTTCATATTTACTACATGACATTAATGAGGTTATACAATAGTGTCTGCCCAGTCACAATCTATAACACAATTCGTCATCTGCCAATCAACGCGATTCATATTGATGAACTTAATAAGATGATATGTAAATGCATATTATGTTCTATATTTTGATGTAATAAAAATTAATTGAAAAAACTTTCTTAGCTTTTTATCCTTTAAATTTTCTTTGATTCATTTTGTATAAATTTCTTACTTACATCTTGAGCCTTTGTATTCTCCGTTTTAATCTTTTTAAGCTTCTCTTCTATTATTTTGAGTTCATCCATTTCTTTTTGGATTTCACGGTTTATTTGATATTTAGCCACCGCTTGTGCTAATGGTCCTAGCTCTCCCTTCATCGCAGCATTTATCATCGCCTATTTATCAAAAAAATTTTTTAATAAATGTGTAATGGTTTAGTGTACAAATTATGCAAATTCTTACATCTCGTCGCCTTTTGGCATCATTGGATACACCTATTGGATCTGTCTCAGTCTGTGGTCCTAGTTCAATAAGAATTTGAAAATCCGCGTGTTCACCTAATCGAAAACCCACACCAAATCTGGAATCGGTTCCTGTAGATTTCATAATCACATAAACATCGATATAAGTTAACAAGGATTATATAATAAGATAAAGTTATATTCTTAACTTATAATATACTTAACTTTTTTGATAGGCGATATATTGGAATATATCAAACTTAGGATTGTTGGAAGCTCTTCTGGTATAATCAGGCTTGTTACATCTGTGAATTTTATTTTTATATCAATTTTTAATCGTTAATTGTGTCAAAAATAAACGCTTGATGAGATAATTATTATATAAAAAAGTCTTAATAATCTACTTCAAATTTTCTTCATGATATTTGATAACAAAAACACTCTGTTAACTTATTGCCGCTGCTTTGTACTGATTAACAAATTATTTTACATCGCTGAAGATGGCTTAAATAGAGTTGAAACGTCTGATTTTGTTTTAATTTAAATTAAGTAATCCACAAATATAATTGTTAAATAATAGAAATTACACGAATTTTTTTACTGTGCAGTTATTACTCTTAATTGTCTATTTGAATATTAATTTGCTATTAAATCAAGAGTTCATTTTTATCTTGTTGCTAATTAAATTAAATTAAAAATTAATTCGTTTAAAATTAACTAAATTAAATTAAAGTTAATTTTCAATTTTCTATTTTTTTATTTAACTTTTAACTTATTAATTAGTTACTATTCAATCCTGCGTATAGTATGTACGTTGACTTATGTATATCTGGGATTTTACACAAGTTCGATTTACGAGGTGTAGCTATTAAATAATGAGACTGACACTGCTACAGAAGAAGTTACGCATGCGCCAAACGCCAGCGACCGACAGCTGTTTAGCGTGAAGCCTTCTCTTTCGAATGCAGTACCTCTCGCTTCTGTAAACAAATTCATATAGCCATAGCCTTCTTTCGCATTAGAGTTGTTTTTTTGTTTCGCCGGAAAAATGATAAGTGTAACAATAGAGCAACGAATTGTTGTGAAATTTCACGTGAAACTTGGAAAAACCGCTACTGAATAATTTAT